TTGCAGCTGTTTCCCTGGTTCTTTTTGGTAAACTACCTAGCTGGGTGATTTTTATTGGCTTTTATCGAACTATCAGAATCTTAATTGAAATAAAGCCAGTTTACTATAAAAGCACTTAGATTTTTGTTTTTTTCTCTCCCCCCCCCCCCCCCCCGTGGTGGAACCTTTATACCTCTTTAGAATGGAAGAAGCAGACTGACTGTAGCTGGGTTCTCTTATAGTTAAAGCCCCTACTTAGCAAACTGCTACATGGAGACAGCATCTACCCTGTGACTTTTTTTTTTAAAGATTTATTTATTTATTATATATGAGTACACTGTAGCTGTCTTGGGACACACCAGAAGAGGGCATCAGATCTCATTACAGATGGTTGTGAGCCAACATGTGGTTGCTGGGATTTGAACTCAGAACCTCTCGAAGTACAGTCAGTGCTCTTAACCACTGAGCTCCAGCCCCCTACCCTGTGACTTTTAACCTATCTCCTGCCTTAGAATCTTGAACCAATGGATGAGATGGGGTAAGAGCCATTAGGACTGTAGTATTCTTGGCTTGCTGCCCTTGAAGTAGAACTTTACCCAGAACCCAGACAGTCTTCCTGCAATAGAGCCTCTTGCTGGATGTGATGAGAAATCTAGCTGCTTTCTTCTCACAGGAAGATAGCATTAACTTGAAGGGGAGAGCCCAGTGTTCTTTGGTATGCTCCTCTGGAATGAAACCATGGTGATTTAAATACCAGGTTCTGTCCTTACTGATACAGTAGATTTGTTGTGATCAAAAGTTTTGTTGTTTGTTATATATCCTTAAGACAATTTCTAGAGACTTAATTTTTTTTTAACTTGCTGTCAGTGGTAGTTTTACTGAGGAAACTGCCCGCAGAGCTTCCGATGTACCATTTTAAAGTCATTTTTAATTTAAAATTCTACAGATGTACGATAACCACTGAAAAGTTGGTTTTGAAAATGCCTAGAAAGGATGCTAACATTTATTGAAGCTTCCAGTACCATAATGTGTATACAGGACTTGACAAACCTTACTGTGGAGGAGGTCTGAATAAGAGTATTTGGTTAATTATCAAGCATTTTTAAGTGAATACATTTTTGCCATAAGGATTTTCAAGTGAAGGATGCAGGGTCTGTTGCAGTGACTTCTAGGGAAGTTATCCTTTGTAATTAGTCTTAGATATAGTGACTTAGTTACAAAATATATGAAGAGAGCTTTAAGTAGTGTTGAGAATAGAATATGAACAATTAGTTGACATGGGAATATAACAGTAATTGAACATCTTCATTTTCAATTTCTGAATTGATTGGTTATGAAGTTGTCTAGAACTGGCATCACACTTAGAACCTTGTTCTTGATGTTGGGAACCAATAAGAATTTAGAATGATGACTTTATATACTGATAATTATGGGAGTATTGGGGGCTAGGACAAGGAAATACTTTATTATTTTTTATTTTTTGGTTTTTCAAGACAGGGTTTCTCTGTGTAGCCCTGGCTGTCCTGGAACTCACTCTGTAGACCAGGCTAGCCTCGAACTCAGAAATCCACCTGCCTCTGCCTCCCAAGTGCTGGGATTAAAGGCATGCACCACCACTGCCCAGCATTTTATTCTTGAAGAAAGATTAAATTTAAAAATTGCTTAGTGGGGCCAGTGAAATGACTCAGCAGGTAAAGGTCCCTGCCATCAAACCTGACAACCCAAGTTCGATCTTTAGGATTTACATGGTAGAAGATGAAACCTGAGTCTTAGCAGATTGTCCCCTGAGCTTTATTTGTATACCTTAGCATCCCACACCTCCACCCAAGAAAATTAAAATGTCACTTTAATTTTTTTTGTTGTTTATTTTTTGAGACAGGGTTTCTCTGTGCATCCCTGACTGTCCTGTAACTAACTTACTCTTTAGTCAAGACTGGTCCTGCCTCCTGAGTTCTGGGATTAAAGGCATATGCTACCACCACCAGAGAACTTTAAAAAAAATTTTTAAGTAAAATTGCTTAGAGATAATTTGCATTCTTGGATATGGACTGAACTGCTAAATTATAAATGTACTGTCTTGGGCTGGAGAGATATGGCTTAGGGGTTAAGAGCTCATCCAGAGGTTTTAAGTTCAATCCCCTGCAGTGTGATCTGATACACTCTTCTGGAGTTGAGGTATAATGCAGATAAAACACTCATATACATCACTAAATAAATAAATAAATAAATCTAAGACATTTTATAAAATAAATGTACTATCTTTCAAACTTTGTAGCATGAACTCATCTCTTGGAATAATAATTTTAATAAATTTTTTATGTGGCTGCTGGAGGTCAATATTAACTTACCTCTCTTACTTTGCACCTTAATTTTTAATTAAAAATTTTTAATTATTTTGATAATACTTTTTAATTTTAAAAATTATGTGTCTGGGTTTTTTACCTGCATGTTTTGTCTGTATACCACATGCATGCCTAGTACTTGAAAAGGCCAGAGAGGGTCATCTTATTTGGGATTTATAGAAGATTATGAGCTGCCATGTGGCTGCTAGGACTCTTATCTAACCTGAGTCCTCTACAAGAGCAGCCAGTGCTGTTAAATGCTGTTACGTCTCCATTCCCTTTAGATTTCTTATTGCATATGTGAGTGCATGGATGTGGAAGTAAGAGAACAACCTACAGAAAATGGATCAGTCCTTCTACCATGTTGATCCCAGGGATCCAACTTAGGTCACCAGGCTTGGTGGCAAGCACCTTCACTTACTGAACTTGGGAGTTCCCAGATTGAGCTAGGATAGCTAGCCGGTTAGCAAACTCCAGGGATCCTCCTGTCTACCCTCCCACTGCTGAGATCATAAGCATGTGCTGCTTTGCCTTGCTCTTTGTGGGGATGCTGAGTATCGAACTCAGATCTTCATGCTTGTGTAACAAGTATTTTATACACAGAGCTATCCAGTTTATAATTTTTAAAAGCTATATTTCTTATTAATATAACTAGTCATGTTTTAGAAAAAAACTTAATTTGAGGAAATCATTCATGAAAAGTCCAATTTCATGAAAAGTCTCTAAATCCAAAATTTTTGATAGATTTCTATAGTTTTGCCACTTGATAATTTATATGGTATCTTTGTCTGCAATGATTTTCTCATCACTTTTGCCCAATAGTTTTGGTTTGTCTACTGATTGAGTTTTTAATATGTACAGATGGAAGGGAGGTGTGTGGGTGTGTGGGTGTGGGTGTGGGTGTGTGTGTGTGTGTGTGTGAGAGAGAGAGAGAGAGAGAGAGAGAGAGAGAGAGAGAGAGAGAGAGAGAGAGAGAGAGA